ACTCAATTAAAATATCATCGTCGTTCACGTGCTAATGATCGTGAACGTACTCGTATGCGTTTACTCAATGAATCTCTTGAACATTTACGTACATTATTACCAATTGATTCTGTTTCATGTTACTCTTCAACTGATTCATCAAATCATGGTACAATGTTAGAAGATAAATTAACTAAAATTGAAACACTTCGAACGGCTTCAGCATATATTCGTGTATTAACTGATTTACTCGAAGATAGTAATAATTCATCTACATCAAGTTCATATTCTTATAATATCTCTGATCAACCACAACAACAACAACCACCACAAGTATATCAACATTCTTCTTATTTTGGTTATACACCAAATTATTCTTATTATCATCCTTATTGTTAAATTATTTAAAGATAAAAACACACTTGTTTTCTTTTTTCTCATATTTTGAAATATAATAAATAAAATAGTTTTCTCCTACTAAAATTCTTTAAATGGTATTGACCATACAATCAATCTTGATATCTCATTTCGTATTTTATATTTTTATTTTTCATAGTATATGAAAGAAAAAAAACTTGTCACAATTCAATGAAAAAGAAAAGAAACGAACGTAATAATTCATAGCAAAGAGAATAGAATGGAATACATAATGAAATAGAAAACAATGAACTGCAATATAAGAAATACGTGCATTTTATTAGATTTATTATGTGCAAAAACAAACACAAAAAAAAACAATATCAAAGATCCAAATGACTACTACTGTTTTTTTCGTCTTTCTCACAAAACAAATTTTTTTTTTATTAAAAAATATCTGCCAAACATTCGGTGAGTATTATAGATACGTATATGTATGTACACATATAAGAAAAAGCTACATATTATAAGCAACAAATATAGGATCAAGCTGATCAGATACAAAACCATCACGTAAGTGCATACGTTGTTTTTCACCACGTGAATTGACCGGTACAACACCCGGATCAACAATGACAAGAACACCAACAATCACATAATGTTCTTCAAGAATTGCACTTGTTATAAGTGGTACAAGATCAAGTGAATGTTGTTCAAGACCATCATATTCAACAACAACAACAAGTAAATTTGTCCAAGTAAAACAAGCACTAATTTTAAATAAATATAAAAAAAAGTTTTATGATAATATAATAGTAAATCATACCATTCACAAATACGTTTATGTGTACGCATAACTGTATTTTCAATATCAGTTGGATGATAACGCATACCACGAATAAGAAGTGTTTCTTCCAGAGAACCGACTATATAAACAGCATCGTGATTTTCTAAAGATAAATAATAAATAACTTAATTTCATTCTTCATTTTTAACTTACTTCCATCTGCAGCAATTGAATCTGTTCGACGAACGAATCCTAAATATCCTGTTCTAGCATATAATTGTCGTGTATCACCCGTAGCCATATGTGAATAAAACTGATCTGGATTATGATTCGATCCATGATGTTGATGATTATCACCATAACTGATTATCTGACAGCCCAGTGAATTATGACCACTTTGAACCCATAATTCACCTAAATGTGCATCTGCACATTGACCTTTACTTTCCGGATTAGCAATAACAACTTTAACACCCGGTAAAAGCTAATAGAAAAAAATTGATTTTTTTGTTTATTCAAATCAAGAGGAAAAAATAATTATGAAAACTTACTTTTCCTGATTCCAATAAACATAAACTATGTGGACTACCTTTTTCGACTAGAGTTACACGATCATTTCTTAATGCTCGTTGATCAACATAGACAGGAGCTGGGTCAGGATCACTTGCACCTCGTAAACATATAGCTATGTTTACTCGACAACCAAACGTTGTACTAACACTTCGAGGATTAAGACCTAATGTTTGAAATAATTTAATAAATGAATTTAATAATTGTAAACGAGGTCGTTCTTCAGCTACAACTGCACATGTTCGAATACATGATAATGATAAACCACGGTTCTAACAGAGAATTAATATATATGTTTTTACATAGTAAATAAATTAAATTTATTTTAACTAACTTTAAGATCAACAATGGATGTACTCAATCCTTTTGTACAAAGTTCCATCACCGAGTAGGAACAAAAAGTATCACGAACTAAAAAAACATATTTATTAATACGAAAAAATGAATTAATTATTTTACTTTTATAATGACTAATTGTATTCATCCATACTGATGGGTTAAGTTCAACTTCAGCCGGATCAATAAGAATTGAATGATGGCCAGCATAGATACTATAAAAAAATTAAAATATCAAAATCGAAATTTATTTAATTTTTAAAATTGTATTTACCTGATAATACACCAGAGCACTAATCCAAGTCCATTATATGGATCCAAACAAAGAACAAGTTCTCGACTTGGATATAATTCACATGCTAATTTGATTGAGCGACATAAATTAGCAATAGCACCATATGATAACTATAAAAATCCAAATTTTAATTTTAAATAAAAAAAATTAATCGTTTTCAATATACCTTCACAGCAGTTAATGAACCTGTTGTTGAAATACTGAAATCCAAATAGCAAAGTGATTGAGCTTGAGTTGGTGTTGATTTTTTTGGAAGAACTTGATTTTTCTTTAGTTTAGGTAAATCATCTGTATCAATTATTAATGGCCATAATTTTGGGTCAAGTAATGATGCAGCTTCCTAAAATAAAAGTTAGTATTAAATAAATACAAAAACAGACTAGTCCGTGAATAATATACGTACTTTACATCGAAGTAATTTTGCAATTGAACCATTAGTTAATATAACTTTTGCTTGACTTAATTCAACCATCATTTTAACAGTTGATAATGTATTTAGAAGATTTTGTGCATGTGGTGGACGAATAGATACTGGTACAACATCTGTTCATAGACAAAAGAAAAATAATCAGTTTTGAGTTTATAGAAAAAGTTAGTTATTGTTTTAATTACCAATATATAAACAAGCATAAAAAGAAGAAACAAGATCTACACAAGGCGGATATAATAGAGCAATATGATCGCATGATTTTATTTCGATACGATCGAGAATTGTTAATGCAATACGTTCACTACGTTTATGCATTGCTGCACATGTTATATGTGCTGATTCTTGTCCCTAAATAATTTATAAAATAAAATAACGATGTTTTATTTCTGTAAAAAAAAGAAGAAATATACGAACTTTTGCGTTAATGACAGAATAAAGTATATGATCAGACATTGTTATCGCACGCCATCGAAGAATATCATCAATATATTGAAACTATCAATATTAAAATTAGAAAACTTAATTAGTTATGAATGATGTTCATACTTTTTTTCCTTGATCTGATGTATCTTGATCGTCATTAAATGTCATATCAGCACCTTTTGCTTCAGCTAAACGCATTCCTTGTATAATGGTACCGGCTAAAATAGCACCAGGACCAACTTCCCGTTCAGGATGATGTTCTCGTGGTTTAGGTAAATTAAGTACACATGAATGTGGACACATGAGAACCCTAGATAAATATATATATATATATATATTTAAATATACAATAATCTTTTAATTTCATACGAGCACGGATGTAAATTTCCTTCAAGTAAACGTCGACGTGTTTCTTGAACATGAATCATACCTGAATGACTCTATAAAAATATATTAAATTAATTAATATCTAATACATAGAAAATAAAAATTCAAAAAAAAATACTTTAGGTAGAGTATTTGCTGGACATAGAGCAAGACAATAAACTCCAACTTGATGTATTGAATCAATAGCTTGTAGTACACGACTCATCCATTGAAAACATTCATCTTCACCAATATCCGGTCGTTGTTCAGCAACAATAACTATTCTTTCATCACGTAGAATTCGTATAGAAAAAATAACAACACGTGCACGATAAACAACTTTCATTGGTTCAACAGCTAGAGCTGTTGCAATTAGATCATCACTATTATGTTTACGACCAGCCACTTGCATTAAACCTTCACGACTACCAGTTACAAATAGAAGGCCACCCTAAAGAATATTTAAATTAGATATTGAGTATGTCGATACTTAATTGTCGTTCAAGGAGAAAACTGTTTGCATTTTTTTGAATCAAACAAAAGAGGAAGAAATATTAGCATTATAAAAACAAGCCTCAACAAATCTAATAAGATAATCTAAATTTCAGTTTCTCTCATCTTGACCTTCTTCAAGTCAATGTAGTACGATTTAGGACATTTACTTTTAACTCGAAATGTATTCTGAATGAAAATCTTTTAAGTAATAAAGATCAAGTTAAATAAATAAGAAGAAGGAGGATCAACAATGATTTTAGTCAAACAAGGTCAAGTTAAACAACGTTTAAAATATCCTTGAAAGATTCTTTTTAAAATATATATATGATAATATGTATTGATTTAAGCAAAACAAGAAGATTAATACTTACTGGTCCAAGAAATCCAAGTAAACCTGATCGAACAAATTCTTGTGTACCAATTGGTCTTTCATCCGATCCTAATGGTATAACTTTAAAAACATTTGTTGATAATCCAGGTAATGCCCAATAACCATTTGGTGTTGCTTTTGATGATATAACAACTTCTCCAATTTCATCTGTTTGACAAAGTAATGGTGGTCCATCAATTTTAACAATACCAATAATAGCACCAGGTAATACATGACCAACATCTTGTATAGTTAATGATGTTAAACTATTATCTTGATCAACACGTACAACTCCATAACTTAATGCATGCATTGAAAGTATACCTCGACCTGATTGATGTGTTGACGAAGATGAATGATATTGTCTTCGAATTGATAATGTTAATGTTTCAGATGAATAGGAACAAGGACAACAACAATCAGATCGA